GGGTTTCAGGATTGTTGATTCTCTGTTTGGCTTAGTTTTTCGGATCTTTGTTGTGGAGGGACGGCGTGGTGTTTCTGCCTAGAGCGCCATCTTGCCGGAAGTCTCGGGTTAAATTATTTCTTTGTGAAGAGATGAAGGAGATTAATAGATGTGAAAGAAAATCCATAGGATTTGGTCTGAAGTCATAGAGGGTAAAATCTGGTTAGATACTGATGGAGTGAAACAGTCTGGGAAGAGAAATGATGAAGAGCAGATTAAAAAATTCTAAGATGCCTTCTAACTCTCAGATGGCTGTTACTCTTCTGGGGAAAAAAAAAAACCTAAAAGTTGTACATGGAACTTTGGTCACAAGAATGTTTATATTACTAGAGAAATATTACGACAGATTTGAAGAAGAGAAATTGAAAGAGGAAGATTCCAAGGGATACAAGAAAAAGTGAAATTTAGGGAAATTATCAGAGAATTCATGTAGGTATCGATTATAGAATTTAACTCCTAATAAAATGGAAATCTGAAGACAGAGCTTATATAACTCTCAGTTTTTCCCAGATTTAATTATTACATGTAAGTTTTCTTGTTTCACAAGTGTGTTACTGTTTCATTGAATCCTGTTAGTATATTTGCATCTGAGACTTGATCTCTGTTTTGTTGCTGAAAACTCTTTTCTGTATTTTTGTTTTTATCTAGGACTTCATGTTTTTTGAAAGCGGCGGAGACAGGGAACAGAAACCAGGGGTGTGGTAGTGTATTAATGAGAGTTTTCTTGAAAAATTTGAAGTCCGCATATTGGTTGGGAATATCCAAATGGAAAACTCAAGGTGGTTTTTTTTCTTTCCTTATTAAAATGATTTATAATGTGTGAATTACACAGTAATGCCTGTGACTTCAGTTATATGATTTCTTTTCAAATTATAGAGTTTATTTTCTATATTACTGGCTTATAAATGTCTTTATACATTTTCTTTGAATGTTCATTGTGTATTTTTGAGAAAAGGCATATGTATTTTTAATTTAGATATGACACTTACAAAAAACTGCTTTGAATTAGTCTGATTTATTTTCCATTTTTTATAGCACAGTTTAATTAAAACTTTATCATTAAAATAATTTTAATATAAAGTACACTTTTTTATTAAATCAAGTTACAATGTAGCTCATATGTAACAACTAATATTATTTTGAAAACACTGTATTTTCAAGAAAGTTAAAAATGAAAGTTAAAAATTAACAATTTCCGAAGTTTCCTTTACCATTATATTTGGGTAATATTCAAAATGCATATTAGTCAGGAAAAGTAAAATGTGTGCTTTTCAATCTTCAGTAAATCGCAATATATTCAACTTCTCCTATAAATTAATTCACTACTATAAGCTTTTCATACTGACCAGACAATAAGTTCTCTTTGAACAAAGAAAGGCATGATTCTTCCCCAAAGAAGTGCACCTTTAAAAGACTCACTTGCTGGAAAACTGGGGTATTGTGTTTTTGAAGTAATTATTTACACGTGGAATGGTTACAGCCTGTATTCCATCATTCCTAGAATATGGTATTTACAAGATTACCCAGGTATTGATTACCTAGAACATATATATGCCTTCACAGAATATCAACTTCAGTAACCACATGACTGAAATAAAAAAAGTGTTGAATATTTCCTTGCATATTTGATTTTTGTTTTTAAACTGTGGCCAATCAGTTCAGGTGGTGTTCTGAATCCTGCACATTTAGCTCCCCTTCCCTTTCAAATCTCCGTTAAAAAGAGCAGTAGCATAGATACTGTTTAGTAAAATTCGTATCAGTGCTGGAAACTAGGCTGTCTACCTATCAGACACTTAAAGGAATTTTTACATTTTGTATGTAAGATTGAGAGAGGGGATGACCAACTCACAATTCACCTCATGCAAAGAAAAGTGTGCTTAGGAAGAGGGGGTGGGTGGAGAGCGACTCCCTTTCATCTTCAACTCCATCGACAGCCACTATTCCTAATGGTATTAGCCACAGCAGAACACCACCACCACTAACTCCTAATGGCAGATGTGATGGCAGATGCTGGGGAGTTGCAAGAAAAGAGAAGCCTAGACAACCTTTCAGTAGTCTAAATAATTTACTGGGTGCCAGATCCCTATGATGGGATGTAACCATGTGCTCACCCCCAGTTCATACTTGTTACAGAGAACGTGCCAAATAAAATTACTTGATACCTGAATACTAGTGACGTTAGTTGTGCCAATTAGAGAAGGGAGAACTTTCCATGCTAGCCATCGGGTGCCACAACCAACCCAGAAATGAGGCTGAGAGGTATTGATATTGTTTTGGGGACAGATATGTTTTACTTTCATGTCCTACCTCTTTCCTTCTCGTAGGATTCTGGATCTATGGTTAAACAAACTAAAAGTACGGCTGATCTAGATAATTCCTTCCTCCTCCACCTGTGCAAGGAAGTTTGAGCAGAAGCCCACAGAAAATCTGCAGAACTCTTTAAGTTCACATACTAGACAGATACCTTCTCATTAAATGTTTATAAAGAAAAATCATCAAACATATAAAAAATTGCCAGTTTAAATGGGAACAATTCCAGGGATTACAACAAGTGTCTTAATTTGAAATCTAATGAGATTTGAGGGAAGGTTGCATGTTTATTTCTGGAACAGGCAGTGAAGGAGAAGGAACATCCCGATGTGGCATAATTTACCATATTTTTATGCAAATAACATGCATCTTCTACGTTTCTTTGGCAAACACACCCACGCCCCCATGAGGTATTTTCATAAGTGCCACTATGCCAGTTTTGTTGCTATAAAAAATTAGCATGATACTTTTACAAAAATACCTTGCAGGGGTGGAGGGGAGAGCGTGTGGTTGGCAAACAAACATAGAAAGTTCGAATTATTTGCGTAAAAATACACGAGTAGGGTTGAAGAGTATGATGACCACATTTTAAAGTATGATGGGAGTAATAGTAGATTGCATAAAGTAGAAAGCTAACACAAGTAAGACAGATTTTAGAAATATTTCCAGAAATCAGATAAACACAAAATATAGAGAGAAAAGTTGAGACCTGAGCAACAGATAGAATTTATGCACAGTATGATTTTCAGAAGCAGAAACCAGATGGAGGGCAAAGAAAAATAAAATTTATTTGCCATCAAGCTAGTGTGTAGCTTCTAGAAGAATCAGTGTACTACATACCAGAAAAAAGTAATGCAAATAACCTGTGGTTATTAATAAAACAATTCCTGCATGCCTTCAATGTGGCAGACATTGTTAGGCTATAGCAGAAGGGTTTCTGTGGCCTAACTTACGTGATATACCCACAGTCTGCTTCATATTTTCCTATCGCATCAACAGAGTATAATCAAATTCTGCACTTTTTAATAGCAGGCATATAAAAAGAACCAAAGGATGTGAAACACAAATGTAAATCCTATTAAGGTATTTATGGTATTTTGCCATGCCCGTCTTTGATGCCAACTCATAGCGATCCTATAGGACAGGATAGAACTGCCCCACAGGGTTTCCTAGGCTGTAATCTTTATGGAGAGGAGCCCTGGTGGTACAGTGGTTAAGCGCTCCACTGCTAACTGAAAGGTTGGCAGTTTGAACCCACCAGCTGCTCTGCGGGAGAAAGATGTGGCAAGCTGCTTTCATAAAGATGTACACCCTCGGAAGCTCTATGGGGCAGCTCTCCTCTGTCCCGTAGGGTTGCAGTGTGTCAGAATTGACTTGCCAGCAATGGGTTTTGTGTTTGGGTTTTGTTTTTGCCTTTGAGTAGAGACTTTACCACTTCAGGGATTCTTCCCCACAGGATGATGGGACTTACAGAGATGTGATACCATAGACTCATTCAGAACAGGGGCACACTTTGCCCATCTTTTTTTTTTTTTTAAACCGTAAATAGAGCAAAGGAAAATCACATCCCAGGGCATCTTTCTACGCACCAGTTTCCAGATCTTGGCTTCTGAATACCATTCTCCACTCAAAGGAACTGAGCTCTTTGGAGAAATAGTTGATCCCAGGGATGAGGCAGGGGAAGTACAAGATGATCCTCGAACAACTTGTGGAAAAGCAAGAAGGCACTAAAAGTATGATGGTGACATATCAAAAGGATGAAGGAACCAGCTTGAAAGGGCTTCCACCAGAAAAATGAAGAACGATTTGAGCATCACAGTAAGTATGATGATAAGACGTTAGAAACCAATGAATAAAATAGGATATCATGAGTCCATGCAGGTATCATCCATAAATCAATAAATTGAAAGCTTGAGGAGGAGTAAGATACAAATAGTTTCAATTTACTTCTCCATGACATCGTTTCTACTAAATGGGGGAAGAGTAACTGTTAGAGTCAAAGCCTAGCTGCCAGGACTATAATCAAGTAATCAGAGTGAACATCACATAATTCAATGTAGTCCTGAAGTCAAGAGTCTGTGGGATTTGCCAGTTCATTTTTAAATCATGTCATTACGCAGCAAGCATTTTCTGAGAGACCAGGACGGCCTAGAAAGCCGAGAGCTGCGTTGGGGTGTTTATGTCAGAGGAGTTGATACCTTTCAGTCAAGTAGGCAAACCTAGGAATTCTGGCCAGAAACAGTGGAAAAGTTCAGAAAAGCAAAGTGAATGTGTACCTCCTGGGGCCTTTCCCTACATGGCTTAGTTGGGGGAAAACTTTGTAGAGTATTTGCCTCTGCTGTCCTCCTCTGACAGCCAGTGAGGTGACTCCTGCACCCCTCTACCCCCCAGAAAACTAAGCATCCTTGGCCTGAGAGGGGAGGCCACAGATGAGATGTTTCTCTTCAAGCTCAGGAAGGGCCTGACGCCCTGGAGGGAGAACATTAGAAGCTCACCTAGGGTGTGGCACCTCGGGTCATGGTAGGGTGAGTTGGGACGGTGAATAGAAAGTCAGTGGGTGCCCCTGTCTAAGGGGTAAGTGTTGGACTTGCCCCTAGGAGGGGCTGCGGATATTAGGGGATGGGCTTGTCTTTTCAGCCCAGGGAAGGAAGGTCTGGGTAGGCAATGGGGTGGATGGAGAGGCAAGAGGAGAAAGGCTCAAAGGTGCAAGTACCTTCCAGTTGCTGGTGCTTGAGAACTGGGCTGAGTACCTTTCTGAACAAAGTGAAATAGCGAAGAGGCTGGGTGGGAAAAGAAGTGCCAAGGGCGGGCAGTTAGAGCGCCTGAAAATTACTGTCTGTACCCCCAACATCCAATTAGCTACCCTTTGCAGCCAGATTGTAAGGCTGAAATGAAGTTTGGGCTCAGAAAGAACTACTGTAATTTTAGGGTAACTAGAAGGGACTCAATAGAGAATTCCTGCCATCATTTAAGGGACAGATGATGATTTAAAATGCATCCCCGGCACAAATACTACTATTGGCGCTGCCGAGTATCTGCAGGGTGTGCAGGGGTTCTCTCTGCTTCCACCCCCTACCCACTCACCGCTTACTGGACTTGCCTAGGACCACGTTTCTGCGCTTGGCCCTGTTTTTCCCAGCTCTGTTGTTCCTCCTTGTATCTTAATTTTCTTAACTGTCATGCTGGCATGATAATAGTACCTATTTCTAAGGTCACTGTGAGGATTAAGTGATCTAGTGCCTGTCAAGTTCAATTGGCTTGAACAGGTTCCTGCGGTAAAACCAGAGTATGAAAACAGCTGTGTGTTGATCATCATTTTCAAAACCGAAGGAAGTGGCTGAAGCCAATATAGAAAATGCTTTACTAAACTGAATTTCTGCGTTGTGGCTTTGGATGGTGTTACGCATGGGCTCGGCAACACGCACTTCCACTCACATCTGGCAGCAGCAGAGAGCATCACTGAGTCCTGTTATGGCACCATTCCCCGGAGTGGTCAGCCAGCAGCCTGGTGGCAGGTTGATGACATCGAACGGCTTCCATCATGGAAAGGACAGCATTTTGTTTTTATTGGGATAGACACATACTCTGGATATGGATTTGCCTTCCCTGTGCTCAATGCTTCTGCCCAAACCACCACCTGTGGATTTACGGAATGCCTTATCCACCCTCATGGTTCTCTACAAAGCATTGCCTCTGATCAAGGAACTCACTTCACAGCAAATGAAGTGTGGCAGTGGGCCCACGCTTATGGAATTCACTGGTCTCACCCTGTTCCCCCTCATCCTGAAGCAGCGGCACTTCCAACATAACAGCAGCAAAGGAAGCAGTGTGCAACCCAGGAGCCAAGCGGGGACCTTGGCCGGAGCTCTGCCCCCACTCAGCCTTGGACCATTGCTCATGCTGCTGACAGCAGGGGGCGGCAGCCTGGCTAGGCTGTGCTGGCCAGGGCTCCATGCGGGAGCTGGAAAGTGGCAGCATGCGCAGGGCCACAGCCATGGGGCTCATGTGGTTCTACTCTTTATGATGTGGCCACTGCGTCAGCTACATGCCTGCCTGGCAGGCCCTGCATGGTGTTATGTGCCGCCATTCACAGAGTCGCTCCGGTCTGTGTCGAAGGAAAGAACTACCAGCTCTGCCTAGCCTGTGACATCCACTTCTACTCTGCCTTCCAGTATTGTAAAGCGTTTACAAAAGAATTGACAACTGGAGAAAATTTTAAAGTACCCCAGTCCTGGCACCGAAATGTCTGAGGATTCTTTAGAGAAACAAAACCAGGGTTCTCTAGAGAGAGAAACAGAGAGAGAGATTGATTTACTTGAAGGAATTGGCTCTCCATGAGTCAGAATCAACTTGACGGCAATGAGATTTTGTTTCATTTTGTTTTAATGTAGGGACTCACAAGTCCAAAATCCATAGGTCAAGTGATAGGCTGAAGACTCCTGAAGGACTGAAGACTCCTGAAGGACTGTGTCCCAAAATCCGTAAGTCAAGCAATGAGAAGAGTGAAGAGTAAGAGAGTTCTGGCAAAATGTCTATTCATAGTCTGGAGGCGGAACATACCCTAGGGAAATTCCGTTTTTGCTCTTGAGGCCTTCAATTTATTGACTGAGGCCCACCCACATTATGGAAGGTAATCTGCTTTACTTTAGACCAAATGATTTAATCAACATGTAATTCCTTTATAACAGCAACGAGACTAGTAGTGTTTTATCAAACAACTGTGCACCGTGGCCTAGCCAAGTTGACGAATAAAATTAACCATCACACTAAAATTTGCTCAGAAGACAAAGATGAAGACTGATTCTCCCCTCAGGAGAGAATGTCTTCATACAAGATGCAGAGCTGGGCGACTTCTCTCACCGCAGAGTGGGGAGGGATACCATCTAAGCATGGCTGCCTTGACTTTCCTTTCTGAGCCTCACAGCCTCAAAATGTGGCAGGCCACGGAAAGAAGGGAGCAAAAATCTGGAGCAGGAGGCCAGATTAAATTTTATTAATTGAACAATACAGGGTTTGAACTCAAGGCAGGATGCCATAGGATGATAACCAATGGGGTGAGTTGACTATTTAAAAACAAAACCAAGAAAAACCAGTTACTGTTAAGTAGATTCCAACTCATGGTGACCCCATGTGCTGTAGAGTAGAACTGTGATCTGTCAGATTTTCAAGGCTGTGATCTTTGGGAAGCAGATCACCAGGCCTTTTTTCCCAGGCACCTTTGGCTATAGACCCCTGATATTATCTCCCCTACACCAAGCATTTAAATTAAACTTCAGTCTACTTTTAATATTTATGTATGGTAGAAAATATCACATTTGTGCTAACAACAGTTTATAAGTTTACCCAGATTGGAAATCTAGATTTGAAAAACTAATACTTGAAGTCTGCCTGCTGACTGAAGGCAAATTGCTTCCGTCTTGTTTTTGCTTGTGGCTTCTGGCTTCCAATCATTAATATATTGAGATTATTCTGTCTGGCAATAATAGAGAAGAAACATTGGCACATTTCTTCCTGCATTAGAAGTTTTATTTGAGACTAAGTTGCTGGGAAACATTTCAGCTTTAATGAAGTACTGCCAGTAGACTTAATTCCCTGTTAGAAGTTTTCAAAAATAAATTGAATCATACTACTACCTGCTAAGCACAATCTGTTAAATATACTACCAGAATTCTCTCCCCACTGTTGCTGTTACAAGCAAAAAAAATTTACTTGTAAAATTTGCAAATCTACACCCACTCCTCACTTATCGACATGGTTAGATTCCGAAGAACAGGTTCATTATGCAAAAATCAGTGTTATGCGAAAACAGGATGAACACATTAGATCACAAAATGGAAGATGACTACATCATTACATAACTGCCAAACCAGAGAGAATCATGACCCAGCCAAGTTGACACATAACTTTAACCATCACAGCCAGCGTTACTCTCGCCTTGCACCTTGGTGGGTGTTCGTTACTGCCAGACGTATGTTGTTAATGCACGAAACAGAAGTAGATTTTTTACAATTGTAAATGCGAAATGTCAGATAACAAGATAGTTGATAAGTGAGGAGCAGGGTTTTTTTTTGTTTGTTTGTTTTTTAAGAAGAAGGTACATTCTCTCAAATCAGATAAATGCACTCGTGGCAT